TATTTGTGCTACTTCTGTTGATTGCAGCTTATAGCTATGTTCCTGTATGCACTAAGTACCTGGTTGAGTATTTTGGCCTCCTTTTGCATGAATTGCTGCATCCGGGTCGTGTTATATTGAGGCAAACTGCATGTGGCACAGCTGAATGCCCAGTTTGTTTTAAACGTTGTATCAGCGATTGCAGGCCTAATTATAAATGATCACATTCATCCTCACGATCTGCTAGCTGCACACCCCATAAGTCTCTCACACACTCAACTGGGTCTGGTCAGCACTCTTTATTCATTACTATGTATTGTCTCGCCAGGTGATGGACTGGAGCAACCAATGGCCTTAATCAGTGACACAGAGACCATTGAGGGCACAGAGGTCCACAGTAACATGCCCTCAACCACAGCTGCTGTCGCAATGTTATTTGGACTGACATGTGCTAAACCTCAAGTATCCAAAAGAACTGAAATTCACTTTTGAGGGTTTTTTTTTCAGAAAGTGTTAATAGAATTTGACACAAGAAATATGACCCCCAAAATATGTCGCCCCTGCACTCTGCTGCATAGTCAATGACTGACCTACAGCCTCCATTTCAGTGCTTTGATGAACACACACAAACACACAGGATGGCAGAAAAGTCTTCACCTCAGTTTCCACTACATCGTAATAGTAGTTCAGTCGTTGTTTGTTGTTTACTGGATGTGGCAATTTTGTATTAGATTTACATTTATTTCTTCTGCCAAAAATGTTCATTCCTGAGTGAAGCAGACCAATTGTTTTAAGGTATTTTTTATTATTTCTTATTCTTGTCCTTATTTGATATATTCACATTTTAATACTGCTATGAAATTCAACTTGAAATGAACTGCCTCAGAATTACATTTAATAAATATTTAAAACAACGTTAAATTGATCTGACCCATTAATATATCCACAAGTTTCCGAGGGGCGCTCCTGTAAAAAATAAAGTGGGTGAAACTTCCGGTGAGGCGGCGGAAGTAGCATTCCAATGGTGTTTCTTGTGTTAGTTAGCGAAGAGGCTAGCTGTTTTTCGGAGAATTATTTTACTATTTAAAGACGCAAATCTTTATGAGAGATTTATTCAGTGGCTTAAACGTGATTGTTTTGAACATAAGCTGAAAACGAAATCAGTGATCCTGCCAACGACTGTAGCTTCCATCACCTCCCAAAAGACGACGAATCTTCCTGTGTACATTTGTTTAAATTCTTAATGTTCTATAAACTCTATCAGCATGTGTTTGGCTGTTCGCTACTGATGTTACACCTAAACTCAGGATCAAAGCCTGAGGTGACAGAATACCAAATGTGCCAGTTAATGTATTCAAGTAGCACATTCATTTATAATTTTAAATAAACTCCAAAGCACAATGACTAAGTGTGTATTTTTTATTTTAATTGTTTGTCAGCTCGCACAACTGTCTGTCACCATGCCTTGATGAGTATTGATTATTAATAATGTTATTAATACTCCCAATCAACTACTGCGGAGGGTAAAGGCACTGTTATTTCACCCTTTTGAATTTCGTTGAGGTTGTGTTCCCACATCGTTAGCTAGTTTGGATCGCTATAACTTGAATGACTGTCAACTGTTGAATGAACAAGAGTCAAGCATGTCAAGTAGCGCTTTGTTTACTTCAAACCGGAAGTCGCGCCCACTTTTGACGCAAGGCCTCATGGGGCGTAGGAAACTTGTGAATACATATAGTCACATGGAATATTTAAACATTTTCTTCAATGAATTTCTGGGCCGTCAAGTTTCGTGCCCTAGGAGCCAGTGTAGCAGTGATCCACCTCTCAAATTTAATCAAAAATGAGTAATTAATGACTTAATTTTTAATTTTTGGGTGAACTAACCCTTTAAGCAACTGAGCACGAGAAAAACGTGTCTGCTCACCGTGCCGCCATAACCGGAACTCTTAACTCCTTTAATTTTTGAACCAACTGGGTTAAGACAGAGAATCTTTGCAAATAAAGAGCCCTCTGCATAATCAAACACACACACACACACCTGGTTCCAATCAGCTTCCTTGTTTCTTCCATGTTGAACAGTCTGTCCTCACAACCAAAAGTCTCCATTGACTCTGTGCACGAGAAAAATGCTAACTTCCGCCTTGAGGGCGGGTGTTGGGTACTTCGGTTCCGGTTGCCGTTGTTTACATCCTACATCAGTGGACCGGCTATCTAAAGCTTAGCTATCTAAATATATTTGTCTAAAACTATGTTCGTTTGTTCATTGTCAAGTCAACCAACACAGTTTTCACTCATATTTGGGTGGAGCCAGGCGCTGCTGCATTGTGAAAAGTAAACGATATTTCACATTTTGTCACTGCACCCAAGCAGTCGCTTCACAGAGTGGAGCGTTGCGTATATCCATGACAACTAGAAGGAAGTTTTTAGGCTACTAATTATTTATTATATTATACCCTTTAACCAGGAGAAGCCCCTGGGTTTAGAACCTATTTTGCAAGGGAGACCTGTTTAGAAATATGTGTGAACAGCCTAATATGTGTTAAACAGCCTAACTTGATAACGAACGAACCAACGTCGGATACCTTTACTCCCTGTATGACATGTATAGTGGTTGTCAACACTGATCTATATGACATTCTATATAGATAGTGGTTGTCAACAACATAGCCTCTGAACATCATAAACAAAACAATGGCCAACACAAACTGTTCTGGAAAATGCACTTTCTAACGCATGATTTCGCATTTTATAATGTATAGAGAGATATAACAGTTACCAAATCGCATAGCTTGAGCACGTAGCATATAGCAACATTAATGTCCGAGTGATTCCATGTGTACTGCTTATGTACACGCCGTCAAATGTCAGAGCGAAACAAAACAAAATGTAGATCTACATCTGGGGAGCGATATTAATTTTTTCCTAGGATGGTAGGAGTGACGGGTAGGTTGGGGTTGAGGTAGGTCATATGCTATATATATATATATATATATATACACTGTGTGTATATATATATATAATAACGTTAAGTCAACGGTATTCATAAACACGCTGAAAAGAGATTATGCGTGTTGATAGCATGCCAAAAATACGTGATACGTGTCGTATACGCAATTTCATGAGATCAGTCTGAGCATGGATGTTGTTGTGACTTAAAGTTCCCTTCAAAATGATGCAAATACTGAGAAATGTAATATTTAAACCCCTTCTCTCTTGCTCTGGGGAGCTGGAGGAAAATCATTAGCCAGTCGATGAACATAATCGACTGTAATATTCGGCAAATGTTCAAGACATCTGGAGAAACATACATCCTCTACGTCGTCCATCAGGCTACCGGAAACTAGACACCCCATATCGGTTTCGCAGCCGGAACTAGCATATGCTAACGTGCACATAGTCCATTCATTTTATTCTCAAATCTAAACTTAAATTTTATCTTACACATTTTTCTATATTTTCAGTGGTTAATATGCATATATTAACCATTGTACATTGTATAATACATATATACTGTATATATATATATATATATTTGCAATTTCAAGTTTATCTTAACATTTGGTTAACAAAACATTTTATTATTTAGCTGAAGCAACATGTCTTTCTGAGAATACTACTCTATTTAGCCTGCTGATATTACTATTTATGTCTCCATGTTCTGTGTCACCCGTCTTTGAGCTGTATGTTTGCCTACTGTTACTGTACCATTATATTTGTACCAATAGATGAGTTTTTATGAGGTGATTTATGTAATATTCTCCCTCATGCTGTTACATAATATCTGAATGTTTAGAATTATGTTTATTTAAAAAAAACATGTATGTTTCTAATAATTAATTGGGTAAAAATGTTTGAGTGTGTGTAATTTACTTTGTAGAACAAAACGTCCATGCATCGTCAACTTTTACTTGTAAACTGAAAAACTACCTTGTAAAAAAACCATTGGAAAATTTCGAGGGAACCATTGTCTTCCAGGTTTTAATGTCCTCCCTGCACAACAGGTTCATGTATACCCAGACAGTCATTATAGCCTATAGAAAATTATTTCAGTATGAAACAGTCTGGGTTGATTGCAATAATGACAGCACATCTCCTTCATTAACCCTCTTTAAGCAAATACTACTCATGTGTGCTCTTCTAGAGAACTAAGAGCTCTATCATTTTGTTTGTGACTCACCAAAGTGTCCAGTGTGATAAGCCCGCATGCAGCATCTCTGGTTGCTTTAGAGATGATCACATAATCATTCGTACAGTACACACAAATTGTGACCTGGTCTGGAAATTGTGAAACTACATTAGTACTGCCTCAGGCTGTAAAGGTGCTCCCAGATTAAAGCATTGGGTTTTACTCATATTTGCATTTAAGATGTGTTTACTTGTGTGCACAAAAAAACATTTTTTTTTTCAAATAAACTGCACATTCGACTGCATTTTTATTGCAGAAAAATGTGCAGAACATGTCATTTTTGTTATCAATAATATGTGCACTTTATCATTTTGACCAAGAAACTCGTTTCATGTTTTATGCACTGAATGAAAAAAACAAAAGTAAAGAAAACAGATCCAGACCTGGCTTTCACGATGCAACCTTATCACGTCCACAGGCAATAGCAATGCAACACTATATATTTCTTCTTGTCCACAGTAATAGCATTGTGTGTTTAACAATGTATAAAATGCTCAAGGCCTTGAGTCATGCCCAGAGAGACACTCATTCATTTCAACATTTCTACACTCTTAAACACACAATAATATTACTGTGGCATCTTGAAAAGTACACAGTAGAGTTTGAGGAGAGTTTTTTTTAACTCTTCTTATATTACAAATGACAAGTTAACAATAAACAGCGTGCTGATAAATCGAGAAGAATCCTTTACACTCTGCCATCAGCAATTGTTCTACAGCTCGCTCTTTCTCCCCTGAAAGTGTGTGTGTGTGTATGTGTGTTTTGAGGGGGTTGTGTAAAGCTCAATTTACCTTGTCAATCATTGCTTTTTTCTCTCTGTTTTTCCTCCAAGGTTGGCCTTTCACAAACACAGTCTGTAAGATGAGTGGTCTGGTTCAGGGTATGTCTGTGTCTGCCTCTGTGTTTACACTGGTGGCCATTGCAGTGGACAGGTCAGTGGTGTCATTACTTGAATCTGATGAAACTTGTCAGTAATATTTTAAAACCCAAATCATATATTCTAATATCCAATTCTAAATGATATATATTTGAAAGACATTAAGAAACATATTTCGTAAAAATGTTTAAAATTAATACAGTGTGCAAAAGTCTTAGACTTTTTAGACTTTTTAGTTAGAATTTACACACATGGTTTTAAGCCAGTTATTTATTTCTTGTAATGCTTCAGTAGGACATAACGGTTTACATTTACAAACATTCCTTTGTGCTTATTTTCTATGCAAACTTTGAATTGCCACAGCGTGATATTTTAATTCCTTTCTATGTAAAGCATTTTGAATTGCCATAGTGTAAGAAATGTGCTACATAAATAAACAACGTACCGTGCATATATATATATATATACAAATATATATACAAACCCAATTCCATAAAAGTTGGGACACTGTACAAATTGTGAATATTTCAATTTTATATTTAAAATACAACATAGATGACATATCAAATGTTTAAACTGAGAAAATGCATAATTTTAAGGGAAAAATAAGTTGATTTTAAATTTCATGGCATCAACACATCTCAAAAAAGTTGGGACAAGGCCATTTTTACCACTGTGTGGCATCCCCTCTTCTTTTATTAACAGTCTGCAAACGTCTGGGGACTGAGGAGACAAGTTGCTCAAGTTTAGGAATAGGAATGTTGTCCCATTCTTGTCTAATAAAGGCTTCTAGCTGCTCAACTGTCTTAGCTCTTCTTTGTTGCATCTTCCTCTTTATGATGCGCCAAATGTTTTCTATGGGTGAAAGATCTGGACTACAGGCTGGCCATTTCAGTACCCGGATCCTTCTTCTACGCAGCCATGATGTTGTAATTGATGCAGTATGTGGTTTGGCATTGTCTTGTTGGAAAATACAAGGTCTTCCCTGAAAGAGACGATGTCTGGATGGGAGCATATGTTGTTCTAGAACTTGGATATACCTTTCAGCATTGATGGTGCCTTTCCAGATGTGTAAGCTGCCCATGCCACACGCACTCATGCAACCCCATACCATCAGAGATGCAGGCTTCTGAACTGAGCGCTGATAACAACTTGGGTTGTCCTTGTCCTCTTTAGTCCGGATGACATGGCGTCCCAGTTTTCCAAAAAGAACTTCAAATTTTGATTCGTCTGACCACAGAACAGTTTTCCACTTTGCTAGAGTCCACTTTAAATGAGCCTTGGCCCAGAGAAAACGCCTGCGCTTCTGGTTCCCGTTTAGATATGGCTTCTTTTTTGACCTATAGAGTTTTAGCCGGCAACGGTGAATGGCACGGTGGATTGTGTTCACTGACAATGTTTTCTGGAAGTATTCTTGAGCCCATGTTGCGATTTCCATTACAGTAGCATTCCTGTGTGTGATGCAGTGCCGTCTAAGGGCCCGAAGATCACGGGCATTCAGTATGGTTTTCCGGCCTTGACCCTTATGCACAGAGATTGTTCCAGATTCTCTGAATCTTTGGATGATATTATGCACTGTTGATGATAACTTCAAACTCTTTGCAATTTTTCTCTGAGAAACTCCTTTCTGATATTGCTCCACTATTTTTTGCCTCAGCATTGGGGGAATTGGTGATCCTCTGCCCATCTTGACTTCTGAGAGACACTGCCACTCTGAGAGGCTCTTTTTATACCCAATCATGTTGCCAATTGACCTAATAAGTTGCAAATTGGTCCTCCAGCTGTTCCTTATATGTACATTTAACTTTTCTGGCCTCTTATTGCTACCTGTCCCAACTTTTTTGGAATTTGTAGCTCTCATGAAATCCAAAAGGAGCCAATATTTGGCATGGCAATTCAAAATGTCTCACTTTCAACATTTGATATGTCATCTATGTTGTATTCTAAATATAATATTGAAATTTGAAACTTCCACATCATTGCATTCTGTTTTTATTTTTACAATTTGTACAGTGTCCCAACTTTTATGGAATTGGGTTTGTATATATATATATATATATATATATATATATATGTATATAACATTGCATTACAGTAATGAAAATTTGGGAGCAAATGTAGTTAATTGCCATGGGAATAATGTTAAAGAAAAAAAAATGTGACTCAGACTTTGTGAGATTCATGTCAATGTTTTAGTTTCAGCGTGAGACTACTCTGATCTATTGAGATAAATAGTCAAGTCACCTTTATTTACAGCTTTTTACAATACTGTTTCTACGCAGCTTTACAGTTATAATAGGAAAATAATGCAACAAAGTGTGTTCCGGCTGTACAGCAGATCTAGAAGAAAATAGCATCACATAGTCGAGCTTTAAGAAATTTAATGGCGTCATGAAATGCATTTTTTAGATCTTTACATTATGTTTCTGGAAGTTAGCTTTTGAAGTTAGCAAGGTTTCTGCTCCAAAAACATTCAAATATTTGTAAAAGATGATCATTTTCAATAATGTTTTTCACTCGCTGTTGAAAAAACACCTCAGTTTAAAAGTTCAAAAATTCAATAAATGCCCACTGCTGTGATTGGCTAAATTCGTTGCACTGTTTACATGGCCTCCCCCACACTTAGTCTACAGTGTTAAATGCTGGTTTGACTCAAACACACTTGAATAGAATATAAATAAATGTACTGGCATTGCCTCTTAAGGAAAATTACATGTCACTGCTTTTAATACAAGAAGCATGTTGAGAATAATAAAGAAAAGAGTCCACTGTGAAATGGGAAATTCTTGTTTAATTGCTCAGACATGTCACTGGTTATTCTTTTCTAATAGCTTTGATATTTTAGAAGGATTTTTTTGTTTTGTTTTTGGAGGTGTATTTTGCCTATACATCCAGGGACAGAACAACATAGGACAATCTTACAAGACAGCAATTGTGATTGATGGACAGACATGAGTCGTGAAGAGCACGGCTCCTTGTTTTACATGCGCATATTAAGTAGGGATGGGCAACGATTAATCGCGATTAATCGCATCCAAAATAAAAGTTTGTATTTACATAATATATGTGTGTGTAGTGTGTATAATTAATTTGTATATATAAATACACACACATGAATGTATATATTTAAGAAATATTTGCATGTATATACTTTATATATATTTATACATAATTAATATTATATATAAATATAAATATTTGATATATTAATTACACATTTTTCTTAAATACATGCATGTGTGGGTATTTATATATACAAATTAATTATGCACACCACACACACATATATATTATGTAAACACAAACTTTTATTTTGGATGTGATTAATCGCGATTAATCGTTGCCCATCCCTAATATTAAGAGAAGAAAAATCAAAAATGCTTTTGTTGGAGAGCAACCTCTTATATGTGTAAATGTCGAGGACAATTTGATTTTCCAATTCATGACTGCTACAAATAAAGACATTATTTTTCAAATTAAATACGACAAAGGGGGAAGCGGAAGAAAGTAATTCTAGAAAAAGGCAGAGGATTGACTGACATTTGAGTACAGTTTATACCTTCTTCCAGCTGTAAAGAGCTCTGTTCCAATCTCCTCCAGGTTCCGTTGCATTGTGTACCCTTTCCAACCTAAACTCACCCTACTGGTTGCTAAGGTGACCATAGTGATGATCTGGGTGCTTGCGGTGGTGATTATGTGCCCATCAGCTGTGATGTTGACTGTGGAGAGAGTGGAGCATCATTACATGGTCCACAATGAAGACTACAACCACACATACATACTTTTCTCATGCTTCGAGAACTGGGCCAACCCACAGATGAGGAAAGTCTACACCACCGTCCTGTTTGCACACATTTACCTGATCCCCCTCACCATGATCACGCTCATGTATGGACGTATCGGGATCAAACTCTACACCACCTCTGTGATCTCTGGGAACGATCAGCACGAAAGTGGACAGTCCAACACCTCCCCTCCGGGTCCTGGAGCCCAGCACAAAGGTCGGCCCCTTATTTCCCAAAAGAAGATCAAAGTGATCAAGATGCTGAGCGTCGTGGCTCTGTTATTCACACTCTCCTGGCTGCCTCTGTGGACCCTGATGCTCCTCACGGACTACGGAGGTCTGGACGAAGACGACTTGGAGATGCTCAGCGGCTACGTGTTCCCATTCGCTCACTGGTTGGCCTTCTCAAACTCTAGCGTCAATCCAATCATCTACGGATACTACAATGAGAACTTCAAGAGGAGCTTTCAGGCGGTGTGCAGTACGCATTCGTGCTGCTGCGAGGGAATGTCTGTGAAGAGAGGAATGCAACGGAAAGCAGGAGGAGGCGTAAGGGATACTGCGGTCAACTCCAATCCCCTGAATTTCGGTGCGAGGAACCGGGTCTACAATGATGGCGATCTGAAGAACTCCGGGACGTGTCTGGAGTTGGAGCACAGGAGAACTGGCCGGCTTTGTAATAACTCGGCCTGCTCCAATGACACGGGATCCAGTGCGGGATCTGGGATAAAAGTGGCAAACCAAAAAGTCTTTCAGATGGAGGAGCCAGAGAGTCCTATCAGAGGGGGTAAAAACCAAGCCTGGGATGAATAGATGGATTATTTGTGGGCGGTTGAGACTCCATAGATCTTTAATCTGTGATCTTTAAAGTGAGATGTGAAAAGTGAGATCATTAGATCAAGTCAGGACTAATCTCATCAGATTAGTTCATGTGAAAACACTTGAAACACTCAAAGGCTGAATTAACTTGTTTTTGGACTCAAAATTCTGTAAAGTGCAAACGAGAGCAACGTTAAAGGAGGTTGAAGTCACATATTGTAAAGCATTTGTTTACCAACTTTAGCTTTTCAACAGAATTTCATTTGCAATTAAAAGATTTTAATTCACCAAATTCAGGCAACAACAACAAAAAAAAAGGTATATATTTAAAATAAGCATGTAGACTCAGTTTCAAACATTTTAATCTTGTATAAAACATTTCTGATGTTTAAGCCTGACAGTTTTTTGTTGTTTTTTTCAGATCAGGCAAAAAGCTGCAATCACTAAATTGGCCGTGTTTATCTTTTTTCAAGACGGTAATATTGCACACTTGCACAAATGTGTCCTGAAATCAGCATTGTATTTTGTATATTATATTTGTGTATGTCCTTTATTATGTAAATTAGTGATTTTATCACTGTTGTGAAAACAATTGGAGTGAACACATACAGTTAATACCAAAGGGGAAAGATGCCATATGTCATTTTTGAGATAGCTACTGTTGTTCACTATGAGAGAAAACAGAACAGCTGGGTGGCGAAGATGCGAAGAATAAGCACAATCCGTGACTATGACTCAAATGTTTGTATTTTAGTGTTCACTGTGTTTTTTCTGACTGTGGCTTTAAGATGGCTTATGTAAAGTCTGGCTTTGTACCTGGAGTCTAATTATATACTTAATGCTGTATAGCGAGATTAATGTAAATGGACTGTAAAGTGAATGAATATGATCAATTCAGTCCATTATCTCTATAAGGAGGAGTTTTTCCTCCATTCTACAAGTGTTAATGTGTAAACCTTAAAAGTGTAAAAGTGAACAGTTTTCTTGGGCTGAGAGACTGGGCGTCATAATTTGCACCTGGTCCATTGAGAATGGTCACACATACACCTAGTTTATATTTTTATGATAGTAAGTCAAACACAGGCCCAGCGACTTCTTTCATTGAAAAAAAAAAACATTTAAAAATCTTGAAATGACCCCAAAGAACAGAGAAAAAAAGAGCTCATTAACACTTGTCAGGAAGGACATATTTTGTATCTATAACATCGAACCGTTCCTTACCTGCAAACTGCAAGCTGTACGCTAGTATGTCTAAATGATCTTTTATGACATAATTATCATCTTTTTTTATACACAATTGGGCCCACCTTGGGCCTTGAAGGTATTTTAATGGCTTTTATTAATTTCATGACATTGGGAAACTGAATTGAACTGAATCAGAAATACAGAAATGTCTTCTTTTTTTTTATTAGAAAGTGTCCAGCTTTGCTCAATTGCTACCAGGTATGAGTACATTAATGACAAGAAAATAAAGCTTATTTTTATATACAAATATTTTCTCAACAAGCTCAAATAAGAAAGTTCAAGTGTTTGTAGAGTAAGAATGCGTTGAATGAAATCACAACATTCACTTCAAATCAGGTTTCTCTCAATGGGGGCCCATTAAATGTCCTTAATGAGTTTTGCCCGCGTCATCTGTTCGCTGCTTTAATATGGATTTCTATTTGGAGAATTACACAGATTATGCCACTCAATTTAATAATAATTGCACATCATCTCTTGACTACTCTAGAATATAAAAAACTCCCTATATAACTCCTATATAAAAACTCCTATATAAAAAAACTGTTTGAACTACTAAAGACAGACTTCCCATGACAAAGTCAATCAGAATAAAAAGAAGAAGAAACAAGGTCTCTGCCTCTACCCTCTCTGAGAGTGCACAGAGAATAAAAACCAAGTCCTTGATAAACTGAACGAGAATCTGCATCAGTGTCTGGTATGATTATAAATAGACCTCAATACAACAACAATATTGTCGCAATTTACCCTTTGTAAAGACCCACCCCCTTAGTTACTGTCGCTATGTCCGACAAACAACCGGTTCCAACCTTCCCGTGTCAATTGGTTTTATGCACAACTGCACTACTTCCTGAACTTCAGCCAGCTCCTTTGTTTCCTGTCTGCCATTATTAGACAAACTGATTGATCCAGATGTGTCTGATTATTGTTGTTGTGACTACTGAGATCCGGCACACGGATCAGTTTGTCCAATAATGCCTACAGGAAACAAAGGAGCTGGCTGAAGTTCAGGAAGTAGAGCAGCTGTGCATAAAGCCCATTTGTGCACTCCCTGGGGAAATAGTGAATAATGTCTGGAAAAATAATTTGTAGATCTCAGACAGAAGCAGACAGAAAGGTCTGCAATATGCTTTCGAGGGATTTATTCAGGATTTGAACGTGACTCGAAATTAAAAAATAAACTAAATCAAGATTGAAGCTAGCCTACAGGTCACAGGGATAAAGTGAACAACCGCATCACCTGGCGATTGAGACCGAGGATAACAACATTGAAGAACAACACTGTTCCTGTAAAACTGGGCATATAGCTCTCTATTCACTATTAAAAAGCAAAAGTGGTGTACATTTATAACGTCACAATCAGTAAGTCATCCTAGCAAGCGTTAGCTAACTATTGAGGCATTATTAGTGTGCTGTAACGGCATAACGTGTGGTTAGCTCCACAGGTTTCTGCGCCCAGCATGTCGTTGGCCTTATTTATACCCTGGACCTACACAAAGCCCAAAACATTAACAGTCAGTCAGTGGCATAGGCCAAGAGGCACAAAAATAACACCGCTGCCCGTAACAGCTGTTGTATTACACCTCATACACCTCTCCAGGTTACTGACAGGTTTAGAGAACGGGTGAAACTGTATATTGCCAGCCTTTCTGTTGTTCCAAACGAACACCGTTTCACCATTATCTTAGTTAATTGTTGTTGCTAGTCCACTTCGCCTTGTTTATTAAACTGGTTTGTTTGTCGGACAAAATGGCGGATAGTTACGGGGGCACTAAATATCGGCGCTATGATTGGTTAGATCGCCTGTTAATCAAGCTCCACGCGAAGCATATATTAGCTGTATCACAACTTAAAAATTTGCATTCAAATAACTTTTCAGAATTCGATTCTTAAAAAAAAATATGATTCCACTAATTTTTTTTAATATTATTAAAATCTTGCATATTCTGCAAGAACTTATGAGCAGAACTAAAAGGGAAAAACTGTATGTCTATTGCTAGTTAAGGTCCGTTGAAATGTAAGATTTGTCAATTTCTTCTGTTGAGTGTCTTTCTCTTTGTGTAAATAGATTTAATATGTATAATTATTGTATTATTATTATTGTTTTGTGATTGTGTTTGAGAATTCACAAATATTACGTACTGTATAAACCAGATCAAAAATCTATCTTTCATGGCTAATCCGAACTAAATACATGTAGTTATTTGTACGGTAATCTGAACAAATGGATCCAATTTCCAATTTTAGCAAATTAGTGCAGGCCATTAGTCCTAAAGATAAAATTGGATTTGAAAAACAAAACTGAATTGGGTGCAGTGACCAAAGCCCTATCATGTTACTTGGAAAAGCATATAACATAGGCTTACCATGAATGTATACTGCATGTGCACATTATGTGACAAGCTAACAAAGCACAGAAAAAGCAAAATACAGTCAGAGAGAATGCCTTTTCAATGCAAGTTTACTTTCTGAATTTGAAAGTTGTAAACAGGATGCATAGTAGTTGCAATTTGAATATAAAGATGTAGAATTGAACAGCATTGAACTTTTTCATGCATTGAATGTATTGTAGGCTTGATTTCAATTCTGAATTTGCTCAAACCTGCTGGATGCACTAACATGTTACAGTGATTAGGTCATCAGCAATGTAGGATACCAATGTAGCAAACTACTGCATGAAATGTTTATTGGGGAATAATGCTTTATGATTCACTTTCTTTTGTTAATAAAAAAAAACAGTACAGGCAACATACAGCGCACACTGCTCAGTATTCTGCAAGAAATAAGCTATAGCATTCTGTTTCAAGCCTTGCTCTTATGTTTACATGACTGAGGACCATTAGTGCTCACCATGAAATGAAAAATAGTCCATTGAAATGTAAAAACTCAGCAAATGTTGTTGATGTAGTTACTATTAGCTTGTGGCTAATTTGCCTGATGTTGTTGTGCTGTGAGGCTTATACAAATTGTCTGTGGCTATGCAATACGTTTTCTTTGTGAGGTTTCACTGAGAATGTAATGATTAGTGTTTACAGCATTTCATTTTGGTGGAAGAAATGCTCTTAGTCTAAAAATGTCTGAATATGTTTAAGCAGCAAGGTCTGTAAAGAGCTTTTACAGCAGTGTTTCAGTAAAAGCAAAACAATCTTCGTACTTTTCAAGAGAAATATAACCCTGTGAGGGTTTCGAATGAGACTGAATTGGTCAATGAATGCCATAAATGCTGCTGTTCCAAATCTATCAGTTGATGGATTCAATTCGGTGACTGAAAAGTTTTGTTATCCACACCTATATGACATAAAGTGTTTCTTTTCGTTTATTTGTTAATCTGTCAATTGTTACACTGTACAATCTGTCATTAAACTAATTTATATTTTAAATAGTAATTTGTAGATCTGCATTGTTTCTTGTTGCTTTGCCCCTGGCTTGCTTTGAAAATAAAGGAGAAAATTATGTCTGCTGAAACTCAGTTGTTATTGAAAAATATTAATTAAACTTTGCTTGTTTTTTGGCCTGCACTCATGATAGCAAATGTGTTGAAAAGCATGACATCTTAAACCATGACAGAATTTATGTACACTTTCTGTTTAAACGTATACCATGCGTAATGTAGCCTAGTGTACAGACAGCGGGCATTATCACAGAGTCCAGTTTTCAAAGATTCATACTCAGAGGAGTAAAAACACCACATGCTGTTAAAACAAGCATCTGACTTTCCCTTCAATCAATAGTCTCTCCATTACTCCAATCATTTTAAATGAACTATTATTAGTCAAACTGTATTAGGAACTGAAGCTGTGTGAGCAAGATTAGCGATGAAAGACCTGAAATTACTTATTTTAATCACCATGGACACCCAGAAGACAGCAGCTATTTGTGGAGGTGTTACTTTCCCTTTTTTTAACAGTGGTTTGAAAGTAAAATGTTGTACTGAATTAGATATACAAACATTTCTAGATTGATTGTCATTTTTTTCTTTGATTCATAAACAGAAGTAAATATTTTTTAATAAGTGCACATTACTAGCGTTAGCTTTAAAAGGATTGTCCAATATATGCAGTCCTTAGTGCATGAAATGCTGCTCAGAATTCTCCCATTCAAAGACTAAACCTCTGATCTTCACAGCTTTCACTCCAGCACCATGTGTGCTTTTTGAGCCATGCAGAACAATGCAACAATGCTCTTTTCTCCTAAACGATCTAATTGCAGAGATTTCAACTAGAGTCAAGGAGTCTGGACATTTAAAGAAAAATGTTTTTAAAATTGATTTTTTATTTATTTAAATAAATTAGAGTTATTACACATTGTTGAAAAATAAATCGATAATTTTTATATTAGGGGGTCTCTGTGCTGATGCAAAAAAGGTTGACCACCCCTGCTCTAATCTAATCTAATCTTTATCTCAGAAAATAACCTTAGGGACGCATTACAGACTATCTTATCTTTTAGTCACATAGCAATTTTAGGATTGTTCTGTTTAACTTCTCAGATCTGAAATTAAGGCTTAAGATAAAGCATTTATTTAATACGGCCCCAGGTCCTAAATTAACCAATGTAATCTCGTCTTGATTTGGTGTCTATGGATGAGCTTGAGAAAAATTCACAGAAATGATCTACTCATTTGGTTTGTTTTTACAAAGTGATGTATTTGAGAAGAGTTTGATTGTATGTGCAAACTTTGGCATTGCCAACAAAAGTAAAAAAAAAAAATTAATATTAAATTCTTCTCTGTTTCTTTTTAATATTTGATATGTCCGTTTATTTTGGGATCCTGTAACAATGCAATCAACAACAGAAAACAACCTTGTTGGTCTAACTCAGGGATGGGCAACGTCGGTCCTGGAGGCCGAGGGCCACCACTGTCTTACAGAGTTTAGCTCCAACCTTGAAAAAAAAAAAAAAATCACCTGCCTGTAATTTTTAATTCCGAAGACCTTGATTAGCTTGTTCAGATGTGTTTGATTAGGGTTGAAAGCTCTGTAGGACAATGGCCCTTCAGGAATGAAGTTGCTGCCTGGTCTAACTAAATAAAATGTTGAAACATTTCCTCACAGCTGAATAGATCGATTTGAACTTAAACTACAGGTAGGTTAACTTATGTGTAAAATTCATCTTAATTCAATGAGATTGCACCAATTTCAGTTGATGTATTCTGTGAGCATTCCCAGAACATCATCCAGTTGATCCAACCAGTGCTGTCACTGGTCAAATTGGTGCAGAGTTTGCACAACGTTTTTTAAACAGGAACGGTGATGCGTTGAACACACTCTCTGCGTCCCAATTCGCTTACTCATACGCCCTAAAAGTATGTACTCTTTTTGTGAAGAAAAGTAGCCTACATACTTTTGAGTGTGTAGCAAAAGAGTAGGCAAGCTTTTATAGCCTACTGTAGGAGCCATTTTATGGGAAAGTCATGTGACCAAATGATAATGGGCGTGTCGTTTATTACGTGGTACACCTGTTGTTTGTGTTAATATGGAAGAATGGGGGTGAGAAAAAAAAATTAGTTGACCGTGTAAAGCGTGCAAGCCTGTAAATAAAACATC